TTAAACCTTGCTGATCCCCGTCTGTTGCTGGGGACAGAACATAGTATGCTTTTCCTGTATCGACCCAGGTGTGAGCTGAGTTTGGTGTGGCTCTCTGATAGTCGCCGTTGACCGTTGAAGTACCAGCACCTGACACGGTGACACAGTCGCTACAGCTGAGCGATCCGTCTGCAGAGCACGTCACCAGGCAGAGCGCAGCAAGCGCAACTGGCAACATCTGCAACGATGGCGGTCGAAATTTGGGCTCAAGTCGGGCACTGTGAAAACACCAAACCGTGGCTGCTTGTCTGAGACTCTACCAACGTGAAGACCTGTCTGAAGCAGAAAGGTGTCATTGTCATTCATTGTCGAAATGTGCTGCATTGGCAATGCATCGTCACTGCATTGTTGCTGTGAAGGCTTCAAGCTGACACATTGCTGACATATGCTGAGTCTATGATCCAACAGAGACAAAGGTGCAAGGCATGTAAGGGGCTTAGATGTTGGATCAAGTGGTGTTACAAGTGCAAGAGCGGATCGCATCTACAAACCATGCAGTGCAACAGAAATAGTTGCAAGAACTATGAAGGTCCTTGTTAAAAACATTTCAAAACGGATCTGTGAAATATGAATGTCCTTGGATCAAACTAGTTTATCGATGGTTTTCAGTTTGATTCAAACATAATCAAACAGATGTGTCATTTCTAACTAACCCACTGTCCTGCAACGTGGTCTCAAGGCCGCCAGCAGCACAATAGAGTAAGGAGGAGGTGTCCCGGCCGTGGCAAACTTTCCTCGGAAAAAAAGAGCAACTCCTTTGGATTTCGATTTTTGCTTCGAAGGCTTCGTTTCTGATCAAAATCGACTCAAAATCCACTCAAAATCACAGTTCACAGCTTGACATCTGGAATGTGGCTTCTTTGTGATGCGGGCTTGCAAGACCCAAATTCCTAACTCCGGGGCTACCTGATAGATTTTTAAAACGTTGCAGAACTGCCGAACCCAAAGTGGATACTCGGTGATTGGCAGTGAGACAGGCCAATAGGGTGGTTTTTCATGATTTGTCGAACTGTATACAGGGACCGTGGCACAGCATCCACAGTCAAGTTGCTCGAAAAAGAATCGAGCTAATCGAGCTCTCGCATAGGAGGGCTCGCAGCCATCAACAAAGTAGACCCAGAGATGATATCCTGGCGAAATGACGAAATGAGCAGCACTTGCAGTTTGTCTACTGAGTTTTCAGTGCATCTCTCTTTGGTTCTGAAGAAAAACATGTTTTAGAAGGTCTGGGTTAGCTGTCAGGGGCTGACTTCGGTCGATTTTTTGTCCAAACAAAACTCTACTTGATCTACTTGTAGATGTTCTGGAAAATCGGTGCGGAGTCCAGTCTGTTCCTGTCACGTTTTCTGGTTGATTCCATTGGATTCCCCGAAAAATGTCCCCTCGGATGTAACGGAAAAGCTCGGCGGCGTGGCTCGTCCAATCCAGGCTACTCATCAAGCGAGACCCTGGCTCCATATGGAGGTTTCCATGGGGCTACCCCCAGTTCTCCATTAATGGATTTTCCATGAAACCATCCAGCGAATTATGAAGGGGTACCCCCCCAGTTTAGGACACCACCATATCTAGACATCATGGAAAGTTGCGGAAGTGGCCCAGAAAAAAACCAATGCTGCCCTGTGCTGCAAGTATTTCGGCCGCTTTGACCAGTACAAACCAGTCTCCGATGTCTCTGTCGGTTTCCACTTAGCACCCCTCTTCTGAGGTCGTCACTGCGAGCGTAGCGCCATTGCCTAGTAACCATTGAGAACTAGACATATAGGGTATGTCTGAAAATGGGGTATACCCCCAATTATAGCCATTTAGTAGGGATAATGATCAGACAAACCATTGGGTTTAGGGGTACACAACATTTTCAGACACACCCATAGGACTCAACAAGCCATGGGCGACCCGCCTGAGGATCTGTGGAGACTCCGCATCTCCAGTCAAGGCCACTCTGCGCCTGCAACGTCAACAATTCTTGAAACGTGGGGCATCTTCTAGTTCTTCACCTCTACGGAGTCTACTAGATCTATGATCACTATATGATCTATATAAGATCTCTGATCTATAATTATTATAGATTATTATGGATTATTATGGTTTATTATAGATTACTAAAATAGATCAAAATATTATATTCTAATAGATTATTATCATCTATGATTATTATAGTTACTTACAGTTTGTGAGAAGTTTACTTTGCCTCAAGATTTCACCGGCACATACCGGCACCAGTGCACCAGTGCCGACATGTTCCGACATGTTCCGACCTCGACCGCAGCTCCCTTCGTGTTGCGAAGCACACCAAGGCAGTGGGTGCCAGCAAAGCCGAAGGGCCTGGCACGCGAAGACCAAGTCGAATCATCGTGTGAAAGTTTTTGACAAAATGATATATCGCCATGCCAGATTGTATAATATATATATATTATGTATATATTATCGAAGGAAGTTTAGAAGTCAAACTTCCGACAATATGGAGAGATGAAAAGCAGAGCAGGGCAGAGGCACAGAGAAGAGGAAGATTAGAAGAGAGAAGATAAGAAGAGAAAGAGTAAGAGGACAGAAGATACAGATGCGCGAAAAGGTAGGAAAGTCGCGAAACACTGTGTTTTTCCAATGATTTGTGGCTCAGGAGGGTCGAAAAGTAGGCTCGCTAAAGCGGCGGGTGCGGAGCCAGCTGGCCACAGGAGCGATGAAAAATTGCACGCCGTTGTGGCGCGAAGCACATTTCCAAGTCAAAATGTACAAAACACCCAGGGTCGGACCACTTTTGGAAGTTGAGATGTCGAAAAAGTGCACGCCGTTGTGGCGCGAAGCACATTTCCAAGTCAAAATGTACAAAACACCTCAGCGTCGGACCACTTTTAGAAGTTGCGATGCCGAAAAAGTGCACGCCGTTGTGGCGCGAAGCACATTTCCAAGTCAAAATGTACAAAACACCCAGGTTCGGACCACTTTTGGAAGTTGCGATGTCGAAAAAGTGCACGCCGTTGTGGCGCGAAGCACATTTCCAAGTCAAAAGTGTTAAAAACTGACGGTCTCGGACCACTTTTGGAGGTTCAGATGTCGAAAAAGTGTCAAAAAAGTGCACGCCGTTGTGGCGCGAAGCACATTTCGAAGTTAAAAGTGTAAAAAACTGAGGGTTTTGAGCCTTTTTTGACGTGAAGATGTCGAAAAAGTAGACACTGATTAACTTAACTAACTTGACTAACTTAACTAACTTCACTCAATTAAGTACCCTAACCTCGACAACAACAACAACAACAACAACACCAACACCAACACCAACACCAACACCAACCACAACAACTACAACTACAACAACAATAGATCGAGAGATGGAGAGATAGATAGATAGATAGATAGATGGATGGATGGATAGATAGATAGATAGATAGAAGATAGATAGGTAGGTAGGGAGGTAGGTAGGTAGGTAAGTAGGTAGGTAGGTAGATAGGCAGAGAAAGAGAGAGAAAGAGTGAGAGAGATCAAGCACCTTTCAATCCATCAGTGGATTCGCTTTGCCATCCCTGATTCACAACAACCAACCTCTCCTATAGGTTTCCTATTTTTGAAACTTCCGCCACCGCCTTGTGCGGTACTACTGGTATATCTATAAATATATATATACATAAACATATGTATATGATATCTCAATGACTCAATGATTTGATTCTACCATGAATTCTACCATCATCAACCATTGATATATCAAGAATAATTCAGACATATTCATGACATATGTGGCATATTCATACCCGAAAAAACTGTGTTTTTCTGCAGTGATACTACAGTGACACTGTCACCACATCATCCTGCAAGGCCTGCAAGGCTGGAAGATGGCCTCGGTAGTGCCTGCAGAATCCGGCAGAACGGGGAGGATTCAACAGGAAATTCCGGATCCAGGGACATCTGTAGGAAATCTGTAGCAAATCTATAGGAAATCGATGGATTTGTTTTGACCATTTTGATGCTGTCGGAAATTCCATGTTTTCAAGGGCACTTCCTCCGGTCACTTCCAGTCTGCAATCCGATATTCCGAATCCGATATCCTTTGAGTGTCAGCTGTGAAGTACTACAGAAATCCAACGGCTAAGCGAGTTGATGTAACCAATTGTAACCATGTTCAACCGTCATATGGTAATTTCATAGGTAACAAACGACCCATCCCCATATGGACCAAGTCATAGGGATACCCCCAGTTCTCCATTGATGAATTTTCCATGAAACCATCCAGCTATTTGGGGTACCCCATTCAAAAAAAACACATATACCATCTGGTTATGACTGACATAGCCATGGAAAAACATCATTTTTAATAGGTAAAACATGGTAAAACCATCTATTTCTATGGGCCATCTATGGCGAACTGTTTTTTATAACCAGAGGGTAAATCCATGTTCAACATGTTCAACCCATTTTTGGTTCGCCTCTGCAAGTCTTGGCCGATGCGGGGGCAGCTGTGGCGCTGAAGCGAATTCCAGGGTCAGCATGGCGATTTCTGAAAATCTTCAGGGGTTAGTTTCATGGTGAGTATGGTTAATCCCATGGGTTCCATATGTTGGGTATATGTTGGGTATAAGATGGGTTCATTGATTTAGGTTTAATCCCTAATATGGGTTTAAAATGATTAAAATGAGTAATTACTATGTTAATCTATGTTAATCTTGTATTATGTTAGCGTACTCACCTTTTCAGGGCCTTCGAACGGCCTGAGGTTCAACAAAGACCCAACAGTCCCGTGGCAACTGGCAACTGCTGCATGATGCGCAAAGTCTGTCTGGTCATGTCGTCAGCGGATCAAGAAATCCCAAGTCTCCCAATTGGCCAATTGGCTCTGAAGAAGTTCTGAAGCCGTTGAAAAATGTGCTGATTCCACATGTTCCACGACATGCTGATTCCACAATGCGGCTTTGAAGACTTTGAAGACTGGTCTCGCATGGCATGGCAGCCAAACTTCTTGGTGAATCTCAGGCCTCCAGGTAGTTCTTTATTGCTTCATCCATTTGTGCCTTCCAAATAACAGCTGTGCTGAGAAATGCCAATGAAATTGGAACAGTCCAATGCATGCTTTCCCAAGCCCCGCCATGGGCAGTTTCTCAATTCGATCCACAGAATTGACGGCTGAGCATGCGACTGCTCTCCCCGGAACGGGATTGAGATCCAACTTCAGCCTGTGACCTCAAATCGCCATGTCACACTCTGCTGGCGGCAAAACGAGGTCCATCTCGCTTCAAGATGTGTCAGTGTATGTCAGTCTTATGCACCATGAAAAGATGGAAAAATATGGAACAAGGACACGGCCTTTTTGAATCTCTTGTGCCTTTCGGAATGATTTTGGGTGCTTTTTAGGCATGCTGTATGCTTTTAGTCTCTCAGTCCCATACCAAGATGGAACAGCGCCGCACTCCAGGAGGAGGCGTCGACACAGGCCTCGGGTCCATGCCATAACTACCATGACCAAATGCCAAGGAGTCAAGAAGGCTCTTTTCGCTACGAGGATGTTTGTTTGTACGGCTAAACAAAGAAGGATTTCTGTGCGGATTTCTGTGTCGGGAATGCGTTTCCTTCGCAGGCTTCGACTTCGACAGCTTCGATCTCGGTCCAAGGATTTGGCTTTGATAGACTTGGCAATAGCCACAGTCATTTGCTGCGGATGTAGGCCCTGAGCCACCTGAGCCTCAACGAAAAGGTCAGACTTAGACATAGCTCATATGACATCACATGACCACTTAAAAGACTGTGCTGGATACTGGAAGAAAACTTATCGAAAATAGAACTCCGTCTTGGTGATAGACATGGTATCTGCGGTTTGCAATGACAAAAGAATTGCTCTAATGGGCCTCTTCCATGTAGCGGATGGCTCTCCACCAGTATTGACCGGGAGCCATCACGCACGTCGAGGCCAAGTGCTGAACAGGTCCGGCACAAAGAGAAGAAAATGTGGCTTTGCAAAAGACCGCAACAAGACATGGCCTGTACTAGCTCAACACTTTTCCACACAGGGACCAACAGTAATGCAAATACGTCTACCTCAAGAACGACAAATACATCTAGTATCGTCTAGTATCATCTAAGTTTAGGGATTATCATCTATATATATACTATACATTATACATCATTATCATCTATATAAGTTTGGGGATTATCATCTATATCCTATATCTATATATCTATATATCTATATATCTATATATCTATATATCTATATATCTATATATATCTATATATATATATCTATATATATCTATATATATCTATATATATCTATATATATCTATATATATCTATATATATCTATATATATCTATATATATCTATATATATCTATATATCTCTATATATCTCTATATATCTATATATCTATATATCTATATATCTATATATCTATATATCTATATATCTATATATCTATATATCTATATATCTATATATCTATATATCTATATATCTATATATCTATATATCTATATATCTATATATCTATATATCGATATATCTATATATCGATATATCTATATATCTATATATCTATATATCTATATATCTATATATCTATATATCTATATATCTATATCTATATATCTATATATCTATATCTATATATCTATATATCTACATATTATTAAACATCTAGTATCATCTAGTCGTCTTTTCACGTTCGAAGTGTGGATCTGGCCACGCCTCGAAGGTGCCTGGATCTGGCCGCACGCGTGGAGCAATCACCTCGTAGATCTGGAACACCGGCCTCAACGCTCGGCAATCCTTGGAACGGAAATGTCACTTTTGTGTGACATATGGTATAGGTACATTTATATGTGTATTCTATATGTGTATTCTATATGTGTATTCTATATGTGTATTCTATATGTGTATTCTATATGTATGTATTCTATACTATATATGTGGCATTGGAGTCTGGTGATGATGGTGATGTAATTGTTCTTCGTTGTTTCTTTGTCCTTCACCAACTTGTTGGCAACAGTGATATATCTTCAACTTCGGGGAAGTGGGGGATCAGAAACAAAATCAACAGCATTTTGGGGCACACACCTTACAAATCTCCAGCGCCAAATTCCTCAGCATCTGCCGACATCGTCCGTTGAGTCAGTTGGCCCTCAAGGTGGTGCTGAGGCCACTGCAAGGTAAGCACATAAGGTTGGATGGTTTCCTGCCAAGGACGATGCTCAAAGCTTGTTTTTTTAATTCCCCATTATGCCAGTTACATCCAATTTCCCATAGGTACCTGCTGTCCAAAAAAAAACAAAGTGTGTTTTCCCGAGCCTCCTTTACTTTTGAAGTTACCAACCAGCATGCTGCATGCTTAACCCTATGGTTGGCATCGCCCTGTCCTCCTCCATGTATCCCAACACATCCATGGCGCGACGCCAGAGATCTCCTTGTTCGCTCTGGCCGTGGAAGCCACGTAAGTCACTTGGGTATCACTTGGCTCCAGACGGTCATGCCAATCACCAACAGCAGTAATCTGAAGCAAACCCCTGGCAGATCTTGACAGCTTCACATATCATCGACCGTGAGGAAATGTGCAAAAGATTCCAACGGAAACATCTTTTTTGAACATACTTTTTACATTTTCTTTCACAAGGTTACTCTTCCCAAGAAGTGGCACGGTCAGCTGTCGGGATCCAGTTAAAGTCGCCTTAAAATCTCCGAGCAGCAAAGCAGATCTGGCTTTGGACCCCAACCTTAGCCGGGTGCAACTCAGAGGGTGCAAGAGCGCAGAGCCTAACAAATCTCGATGATTTCGCCTCGTGGAGTACACATCATAAGTATCCAGAAATATCCAGAAATCAAAAAGTTTTATTTACCCAGCACTGCAGGACCTTCTGTGCATTCGCTTTTCTAGCTCGACGCAGACAGAGTCTATGTGTGAGACATAAATCTATGAGAGCCCAGTGCGCCATTGGCAGTCCCAGCGTAGGTTGCGCCAGCTCGAAGCTGTCGGTCGGAGGTCCAGAATTCATGCGCAGCCTCGGGGATGACTTGCGACTGGAACCCGTGAATTTGAAAAGAATTTATGAAAAGCATCCATCCAAAAATTCAAAATTCCTCGTGTATTATGTAATCAGAAAGTGTCAATGAGTCAATTTCATGTTGTAAACATGTCCATTCAACTTCCTACTCCTAGTCATCATAGTATGTCAGAATCTCCAAAACCGTCCATGTCCCGAGGTCAAAGCTTTTGCAAGTTTCGCAGCACTTCCCCATACAAACACCGAATCATGTGCTGCAACTCCTCTGCTGGCCAGGGGTATGGTCATTCATCCCATATCATGGGAAACCATATGAATGGGATATCTTTTGTGGGAATGTAAAGTCCCTATTCTAATTTAAGAATATCCCATTCTATGGGCAATTACCATATGGATTAATATATCACTATATATCACTATATGTACTATTAATCATGGTAAAAACTAGTTATATATATTATATACATTTAAATTCAGGCAATTTGCTGCACTGAAAGAAGCCTCTTTCTCCACTCCATGCTGCACCTGTCAAGTTTGAGAAGGTCAAGCTGACCTGAAATTGTCGCAGCTCTGCGCTGCGGGATGAGCCGGCTCCATCCAAAAGAAAAGGTAGCTGGTGCTTCAAGGCATCTCAGCTATCCACCTTGCTCAGGAGGCCTACAGCGAAGAACACAGAAAGAAAAAGCAGCAAACATCGGTGCGCTAAGAGCTGTGCGCTTCCTCATCATGAAACTAGGAATTCAAACGCATCTCTAAGCAGCTGGATTCTGGATCTCGTTTTGGCAGTCAAAGAAGGCAAGATCGAAGCAGCTGTTACTTCTTGCAAGTAATAGCCTAAAGTCTTCTGGTGTTGCAGCCTCATGTTCCACATCAAGTCTTGGATCGGCTGACCACGCTTGTGTGCAGCTACTGCTCCACCACCTCTCAACGACCCTGGAGTCAGCCTCAACTTTTTGTCCACACCCAGATGCTTCAGCAAAGCGTCCCACCTTCTCCGAAATGAAGAAGGCGAGCTTCCGCACAGAAGCTCCTCAGAACTCATTCTTTGCCAGGTCTTGCAAAGCAGCTTCACTACGCTTGGAACCTTGCACGTAGCATACTGCACTTTCGGACCTCTGCCGCGGCTTTTGGGCACATTGATGCGCAAGTAAACAACATCAGGATCTTCCCATAGCAAGTCTTCCGGTGTCAGCAAGTCACAGCGCTTCGCTTTGAGCACTTCTCCTATCCTGCAAATGCCGTAGAAACAAAGCAGAATTGTGGAAGCAAAACGTCGCCAGCCCCAGAGAATGCTGAGACTTGCCATAGCTCGAACCAACGACTCCGGGATCGGAGTCCTATGCTGAGTAGGTTCAGCTATTTCCCATCTGCTGATCAGCGCCCAAAGTGCACTAGCATAAGCTCGAGTTGCTGGAAACTCTGACTGCACATGTACTACCAACTGCCGGAAGTAAAGGAGAGGCATGCCTGCAGAAAAACTATCAGCTCCAAATGCTTCAAGGGCGGAGACTAAAAGCCCAGGATTTTCCGCAAGGTTTCCAGCAGCTCCTTCACCTAGGTTTGCCTCTGCCCATTCCTGAAACTTCTTCCAAAAACGCGCCCGCATGAGAATAGTCCCAGGCTCAAGCAAATTGAAGTCATAGATGTTTCTATCTGCTCTGGGAACCCGGTTTCTAGGTCCCGGGTTTTCAGCTTCTCCAATCCTGCAGTTGGTCACTTTTGCACATCCAGCTAAATCCAATTTTCTGCACTTTCCTTGTAGCTCCAGGTCAATTGCAAAAGCACCAGCTAGAAAACTACACAGTCTACGTGGGTAGCTCTCAGCTAACTTTGTGAAGTTCATGCCTTTGCTCTTGTCCCGGCCTCGCAAAACAACGTGAGGCTTGTTGCAGCAACACATCTCCTTCTGACCTTTTAAGTGGCAGCTAGTTCGCAAACGCGTCCTCTCTCTCCACAGCGTGCCAAAGCGGCACTGGTCGCACCTAAAATCACCCAGTTTGTCACAATAGTTTTCGCTCAGTTTATCCCAGCTAAGCTCGCCCTGTTGTTTCCAAAACCAAGACTGATCTGGATTCTCAACCCAGAACAAAATTTCAAACTGCAGGCAAACAGAAACCAGTTCCAAAACGAAAGCGAGCTGTTCTTGCCCCAGCTGCACTTTTAGTTGTTGCACCTCAGTCAGTCCCGGCTTGCCGCCTGGGTGAAGTTTCGTCCGCCATGGTGGGGTGATTGCTGTGGAGAAGCTCGCACAAACCGGCGACGCTGCCATGGCTAAAAACCAACCTAAACTAAGGCCTTTCAGGAGATTTCTTTGGGTAAGTGGGTTGCTAAGGTCCTCACGTATAGAATGCTTCAAATCGAAGCAAACAGCCCAGGGGCAGCCAAGACGCACCAGAGCTTTACTGAAGCCTCTCGCACCTGAGTACAAATCTAAGAGACCTGGCCCAGAGGAAACTGCTTCTGCCAAACTCTCAAAACGCGTCTTGTCATACACAAACTGGCTGTGGTCGAATAGGCAGAGCACATCTAGCCTTGTTCCTGTCAACGCAGCTCCTGCTCGGCTGCTACAGGGGTGAGAATTGTCTGGTGGAACCCTTCTCTCAGCGTTCCCCTCTGAGCCTCGACCCGCTCGGCCGCTTGTGGCCCCCTCTTCACCGGAAACGGCAACAGCAGTACGCCTGGACGATGACGTCTGCTCTGACGAAGAAGAGAGCCGCGCCGGTTCGGAGGGGGCACTGCTGCACGAGTCTGGGGTCAAACGGCCAGAGTCGCTGGCTCCTTTCCGCTCTCTTTTCCTCAGGTTGCGACCTCTGTCGCTCTTCAACTGGCGGGAGTTCCGCCAATCGAGCTCGAGATCGGGCAAGAGCTCATCAGCGCTGGGCAATTCAGCGCTTTGAGCCGTATGGACACCGTGCTGAAAGAGGAAGTCATCAAACTGCTCAAAATCTCCCTCAGCTATCTCGCCCCACCACGCTGGCAAACAGATGGAGGGCTTCCGCAATGCTGCTTTACGGGTCGGGTCATCTGCAGGATTCAAGCTGCTCCTGCAATACCCGTAGTACCCTCTAACATTGGTTCCGCAGTGCTCCGGCAAACTCTGCCGAAGCAACTCATTAACCGCTGCTGAAGAGCTGCGGCCTTTGACAAAGCAGGCCAACGAGACCTGGCTGTCTTGCAAGTGGACATAGTAAGAGCTAGGGCTCTCTCGCCCCATTCTTCTCTCAGCCTCAAGCGCCGCACTTATCTCTTTCAGGTTTATGTGCCTGCGGCTTTTGGTCTTTTTCGGCTTACCAAACGTCCTGAACTGACAACCTTTGACAACAATCTCCCAAAGTGGGTGCATGCTGTAACTCACCTCGCCTGGCAGCTCAGACTCTTCACCTCCTAGGCCCTTCTCTCTGAGATAGGCTTGACTCGGTGATGTCGACCTATTCCAAAGCCCCTTCTGCAGACCATGTCTCTGAAATTCGGTCGTTCTTGCCTCTCCTACTTCAGCTTGAACGGCTGCTTCGCATTCTGTCGAAGCATCGCTGCAAACTAACTTTGCTGACGGCCGCAGTCTCATGTCTACCACAGCTAAAGGCAAAAGACCCAGACAAACAAGCAGCTCTTCCTTAAGCTTCATGCTCATCCTGACGACCTCTGCCCTGTTTCTGCCCCTCTGAGCTCTATAAACCTCTTGAAAAGCTGACATCAGTCTGCGGCGACACTGAAAAGCTGCCACGAGGGCTCCTGCGATAACCTCTAGCAGTCCTACGCTGATCTTCCCCAGTGCGACAACCCTGCACAAGATGAAGCAAAGTGGGATCAAACGCTTCAGACTGGGTCGAGCCAACCCTCTCTTCCCATCGACCTCGTAGCCCCAAAACTCGCCTTTCTCCTGCTGTTCAACTGCTTTGCCCTCATGTCTTGGCAGACCCGCCTCAACGTAAGCCTCCCTCACCTTGAGCATGCGCTTTCTGCCCTCTGTCTCTGCATCCTCTTTACAAGGCGCTTCTTGTCCCTTGTGGACCTCCAAAACTACAAAATCGTCGATCATCAAGCCACATTTGATCGACTTGCGGTTAGGCCGCTGCTTCAAGGTCAGGAAATCCTCAAGTTCAAAGACGTTGGTCCGAAGGATGACTGACAAATGTGCACACTGCCCAAACGCTACAGCATTTGTGTCTCCCATGGCCATTGTGGCTAAACAAGGCACTAGATAATCCTCAGCTGCCATCCAAGCCTCAAAACACTGCAAATGCTGCACCTCTTCAGGCTTGACTTTCATCTGAAGCCCATTCCGTCTGCAGCGCTGTTCTGACACTAGAAAGCAGTGCTAGAACTCTCGAAGGTCCTCAGCGTGGATCAGCAAAATTTCATCCTCTTTCAAGTGGATGTGGTTCAGTTGGCATGTCGACCCCAAGCTGTAGACCCATCGACGTTCAGAAGCTTCGACAGCATTGGGTCGCCTTGCATCGAGGATCATCCTGTCTCGGTGCTGATCCTTTGGCAAACAAAACATGCCATTCAGCAAATGTTCCCGCACCCCCTTGAGGGGAACTAAAGCCAAACGCTTGACACCGTCCAACTTTTCTAAAAGCTGCACGCCCTGACCTCTCTTGCAACGAACCTTCACTCTAGGAAGGTCCAAATCCTCCAGACTCTCCTCAAAACTCAAGTCCAAAGGTCTGTTGTACTGCTCTCTGTTGGCATAGTCTAAGAACGGCGTCGGGTCAAAACTAGGCTCTCCGACAAACTTCAGCCTATGAGGTTCAATATCCTTGGCGACATGCTCCAGATTTGAACCAACCCGCCCCAAGACCTCAGCCTCATGTTCCTCTTCAAACGAAAACGCAGGCTTGTGGCTTCGCCTGCATCCCTTGTAACCTCCAAGGCCCTCTTTGACCTCCTCTGCAACCTCCTCAAGCCTCACTAAGACGGCCTCAATTGACTCGACTTTGGCTGCTGTCCTGCCCATATCCTCTGGCGTCACAGTGCCTCCATCAAGCCAAGTGGAGAAGAGGGGCTGCATTCTGTGTACAGCCTTCCACTGATCCCTGTTTAGCTTGGTTCCAAGGCCCAAGCCCAACTCCTCAGTAGGCTTACGCTTCTCACCCAAGTGCAGCCACGACAAGACCGCCACTACATAGTTTGTGCACACTTTCAATGGCCCACACTCCTTCAACCTGGATCTTCGAGAAGTGTGCACTTCTGGATAGGGCAGCGGCATCGGCCAGACCTGACCCAAAGGCGCCGCTCGTGCAGCAGCGCAGGAAGCAAACATGGAGCGGAGAAAAACTGAAAAAGAAGTCCGGCTCTTCAGCAGGACTGTAAAGCACTCATCAAAAATATTGGCATGCACAGTCGAAGCCCTGCTTCCAGGGAGATGCTCCTCTTTCTGCAGGTCGACCTCCGCGCGCTCTTCGGCGCGCTTCTTCAACCTTCTGGCTCCTCGTGCCCGGCATCCAGGCCCGGGCTGGCTCTGCTTTTCGCCTTTGCCTTCGCCTTCGGCTCTCTCTTTCCTTTCGGAGCATCCCTCTCTGAGCCTCCTGCCCCCGGACCTCCCCCTCCTCCCGGCTTCCCAGTCTTGTAACCCTGGCTCAGCCTCTTTCTGCTTTCTAAGAAGGAGTCCCGGTCTTTCAGGCGCCAAAGGGCTAACTCCAAAAACCTCTCGTCTGCCAAACGAGACCACGCTTGCTCGCTGGGCTCCGGTGCTCGCTTCCCCTGGAAGGACGAGTAGGGAGGTTGGAGCTCGAGAACAAGTTCTTGGGCAAGCTGCCAACTTCCTCCATCCAGGGCAGCTTGGTCGTAGGCTAGAAGAGCCAGGGCCGCTCGTGCTCTGGCTTCGCCCACTTGATTCCTTCGCAAGCAATCGTGGATGCCCGCAATCAGCCAGGCAGCTCTGATCGACGTGGGAAAGTTGAGAAGGCGACTGCGGTGCTCCAGCCACGACCGTGATGTCACCGGGAGCTGTTCCAAGCCAGGCCCCGACTTCAGAGTTGTGAAGTCCTCTGCCATCTGGCTTTCCACACTTTCCCACAGCCAGTCCGGATTCTCCTTCAAAGCGCTCTTCAACTTTTTGTATGCTGCTGCCTTTGACCTCGAGCTTCCCTGACTGTTGCTGCTGGAGGGTGCATCTACGGCAGCTCCTCTTTGCTAAAGTCTTCACGACTTTGGTGAGCTGCAAAATGGCTCGCTCGATAGGTGGCCCTTCTGCTGTGGCCTCCTCGTCTTCTCCCTCCAAATCTGCCTCGTCCTCCTCGCTCTCTGAAAGGACGCCCCGCTGGCGCGGCTTCTTCGGAGGCACATCGTCCATGCGGACGGGTTTGCGAGCCAAAGCGGCTAGTTTTTGAAGCTGATCTTCTGGAAAACCCGACTGCCTCGCGGCAGCCACGACTGCCGGGCCTAGTCCCGGACAGAGGTTTGGTTCTTGCTTCTTCGCTGCTGCTCCAGCATCTCCTCCTTTGCTCTTCTGCTTCCGAACAAATGAGACCACCTCTGACAAGCCTCCCAGAGAGCCTCTGACCTCTTGAAAAGCCGTCTCTAGCTTTTCCAGTCTCTCCTCTAATCGCCCTCCTGCAGCTGAACGCAAAGACGGAGAGGCAGCCACTGACGCAGCTCCCGACTGGGCCGACACAAAACTGAAGTGCTCGTCGGCAATGGCGACCAGAACTAGAGCTGAAAGTTGAACTCGCACTTCCAACTCTTCTCCAAATTCTGCAGTGATTGCTCCTTCTTCGGGTTCGCCAATCACTGCGGCTTGCAAAAGCTCTGCGCTCAAAAAGCCCACCCATGCCTTGGTGGTTATATCTATACTCTCCTCCTCAGCAGCCTCCTCAACAAGCGTGCCCGATACTTCGACCGGGACAGGCTTAGACAAAGCTCCTTTCGGCAACAGCCTCCTGCTCGCCGTTCTGTGCCAAGCAACAAAGGGGACAGCAACCAAAAGCTTGCCTTCAACGTGTACAATGGGAACAAAGGCTACTGAAACGTCTGCCCCCTCAGGACTCAGGAAATTCAATCTGCAGCGATGAGTATCAGGATGAATCTCACCGCTTGTCTGCCCGGCTACGCAAAGGTCAGCCAGGCTCCTCCCTTCAACTGCTTCACCTACCTCAGCCATCTCAACGGCGAGACGGCCACTCGAAGCCCGCCTCCTTCACAGCAAGCTTCGCTTCCCACTGAGTTGCAAATCCTAGGAAAACAGACGATCCTGCGTCTGGGCCCCTCTTGCACAAATCTTTGACCTCACTGAACCTCTCAAAGACCTTGGGCTGGTCGAACTTTCTGCCTGAGAAGTCGGCTAGCACCACGTACACTCTACTGCCTAGCTTGAGGCGATCTCGCCCTGAAGTGCCTCGATACACTCCTGAGTAAGCTCTTCTTAGGAATCTTCCACACTCCTTGGCCAACTCAAGCCGTTCCTCGGTGTCCTCAGCGAGGATGTGTCCACTCTGCCCAGGAGCAGAAGTGACCACACTGAATCCCTCAGACCCAGCGCTTGCAGTGGGGCTGGGACGCTCTGCCTCACGTGCACTCAATCGCTCCTCAAGCACCTGAACCCTCAGCCTCAAAACCTCGAGCTCACTCCTCAAGGCCGCTATTTCACGTGTGCTCATCCAAAACCCTCCACCCTCTCTTCGGTGCCACCTGTTGACCTAAGACTGCTCTGCGCAGGTAAATCGCAGCTAGGTGCCGGACCAAACAGAGCACCTCAAGGATTGGTCCAAGAAACAAACCTAAGAAGATGCCGATGATGAGAGATTTTGGGTCTAAATCCACACCCAAAACAGTCCACTGATAGAGTGGGCCCAGGCAAGAGCGTTCAAGTTCAGTTAGAGTTGGTGATGCCCAAAGCGCTTCCTGCGCGATCGAAACTAGCAACCCACTTAACCCTCCTGAGGCCACTCCAGCTGCTAGGGGGCGCATGAACTCGGGCCCTCGAAACTGCAATATGCCGCATGTAAATGAAGGGTCATGTATTAATATATATCAATTATATCCTATTGATATCTTTGAAAATAACCAATAACCTACTAATATCCCACTATAAAATCCCATCCTGAATCAGTTGATTCGCATCGGTCCTTCGGAAGCGCCTGCTCTTGCCACAAGAGCTGAGATGCTGAGACCTTGGATGCGAATCGCGGAACATAGCTGTGGTTTCACCAGAACGAAACGCCAAAAAAAAAAGAGAAAAAAACATGTTCAAAATCTGAAATGGTTCAATATGTTCAATTACAATTTGATGATATAATTTGATGTTCCCCAGCGATAGCTTGGGGTTGTTGATCTGACCGAGAATGGCTGGAAATCTGCACACAATGGAAAGCGCGCTGGGTGCCCTCGCTGCCAAGCTAAAGCCACGTTGCGAGTCAAAAATTCTCAGCCTTGTCGTGAAATGGGGTGAATCATGGTGAATCGCTCGATGAATCACAAATGCATTGCATGTGCATTGCAGTTGTGAATTCTCACGTTGTGATGCATACGATTGGCCTTGGCGGCCAAGGGAATCTGACGTTGTGGCTCCACCCCTTGGCCTCCTTAGCGTGTCCCGCAAAGTCATCACGCCATGGTCAACATCTGCAGGTCTCATCACAGCCTGCGAATTGCGAGTTTGGCGGAGCCTCACAGTGATCAACAGTGTCCACAAAAAAACGAAGACCTTTGCGTTATATCATGTATATATAATGTATATTATGTGCTTCCATTAGATCTATCGTGATCTATCATGATCTATCGATGCCCACAGATTGCCAAGGTTCATATGAGCCTTCAAACACAATGAATGCTGATGGCTTAGCTTCAATCGCGGCCTCGTTCGCCCGCCAGGCAGCCCAAAGGGTCACGGAGTCTCCACAAGACCTTCAAAACATCTTCAAAACATCTCCAAACTGCATATGATTTATATATAGTCATATAGAAGTCTCAGATCTGTGCCAAAATCAAACATGATCCAACTTACAGATCAACATGTTTTTGACATGTGCCAACTATTCCAATTTAGAGTCATTCGACCTCGCCACATCTGAAGTTCGACCGAGCGACTCTTGGAGAAGGGACAACACGTGGCGCCAGCGCAGGCTTTGGCCACAGGCCGCAACCGCCACTGTGTAGGCCACGACATCAGGGCCTGGGCAGAGGCGGGAAGGATGCTCAACTCCAGCACAATACTAAAAAAAAAGGCGAATAGAAATATATGAAATATGAAACAATATTAGTCAATATTAACCTGTCAAGAAATTCTATTGACATCTATTGACACATCGACTCATATCGACTCTTTCACTATCAATTCAGGTCACCGAACAAGAAACCCCTGGATTTTCCAAGAGTTCTGATCCCTTCCCCCACTTGGATTGCCGCACACAGCTCACGCGTATTCATCTCAGACATGAGGGCAAGCACCACCTGGAGCATTTTAGGCCTACACTATCTCATCTATCTCTGGCAGTCTAGATATGCTTTAGATGCCCGTCCGCTTTTCAGATGTATTGTGTGGTTCAACATGGAGCTGGCCCTTGTGTATACTGAGTGTCTGTATGGGAGTATACTGAGTGTCACAGAAATTAGCGGCTCTCGGCCTCCCAATGACCCCGGCAAGCCCCTGCAGCAGCATTCCAGGAGATCAAATTCGAGGCATTTGATGCAGCCTTGACATCAATTCATCGATTCAGTTGGGCTTCAGCTTTTCATACAGAGTGGAACATGTGGAGCACTGACTGAGATTCATTCACACCAAGAACGATTAAACACATTAATTTACATTAACTAACATTAACTAAAAACACATTGAAACACAATAAAAACAGCATGAAGCCATCATTCAAACATTAATTACCATCATTGAAACACAATAAAACAGATTAAAACACCACTCCCTTCAGATTTCAGCATCAGCAGGTCTGTAGCGTAGCCCCGCCAGCATCAGCAGGGCCAGCTGCCAGGCTTGCCCCTTTTGCGCGGCATCCAACGCCACCCCGGCCGCCACGCTGGAAGCTGGGCCTGTCGGACCTGACATGAACTCTGATCATCTGATCCAAAAAAAGTGTCTTCGAACAACTTGAAATGATTTGAAATGATTTGAACAGGTTATGTATACATTGAACATCATTGAACACATCGAAACCGACGTGTTTTGGAAACCCAAAGCTCCGCTATGCCGCTATGCCGCTATGCCGCTATGCTCTGCTCGGAAAGCAACGGTGCCTTGGCTCAAAATGGCCAGAGCTTCTTGCCAATGCTCAGAACCTCAGCTTGGATCCATCTCGCAGCCGTCCCAAACTGGCGACTTTGTTGCTGTGCAACTTGAGCTGCAACAAAAATTGCTTCAAAATTGGTCCAAGAATCGCATGTCATCGCATGTCATCGCATGTCATCGCATGTCATCTTGAGTTGGCCAAGTTGGCTTACTTTTGGAAACTTTGAGAGATTTGCGTCCCCGCTGTGTCCAAGCGGCGCACGCAAGTGCTAGCAGCTTGGTTGATGAGAGCAGAGTCGGCGTCAGCCGTTTTCGTGGTCAGTTCTACAGCAAGCCGCCAACCTCGGAGCACCATCTGAAGTCAGACTGGTCCAATCTGAATGCTTTGCAACTGATTCAGCAATCCTATCCTTTCAGATTCAAATCTTTCCATCTCGATGCCGCCAACGGTACATGTCTTAATTCCGGTTCCCACTTAGCTCTTGGCAATATCTGGCTGATAGCGCCTTCATCGCCATGTGCGCAGCAGCCGGGTTCATCCGCATCTGGGCTGAGCAACGTCAAATGTCTGCAGAATCGACAGAGCACAAATCCCACTGGCTGCAGCCAAAGATACATTTCCAGACACCAGCTCCGCCACTGCCTGAGAAACGAAGAGAAACGAAGTTCGGTGGTGGTGAAACAGCATGAAACAGCAACCTTTTGCACCATGACCTCAACATGTTCTGACACTTACCAAGGCTTCCAAGGGATGTCGCCAAACACCTTGAGACAACTACCTTGATTATTTCCTGCAATCATGTCACACTTTTGAACATCGAGATAAGCTGCAACATAAAGGCTGCAAGGCGTGAGGATAAGCACAGGGTTTGTCAGCCGCCTGCCAACCCTTTTGCGCGGCTTCTTTCATGCGGCCTTCCGTGGTTGCCTCTGAGAGAGATTTCAGGCCCATCTCCTGGGTCACGGTCAATGCGATTGCAGTAGTTATATACCAATGATATGGCGATATCGCGTTTCTATAGCTTTATTACATGTTATTACCATATCAATGCCATGATAATCATGATATACCACATGTATACCACATTGATCATAATCCACATGCAGAAAAACACAGGTGTTACGTGTATCTGCGATATCTGCGATATGGGAAGATACGTTGGAAGATGAAGACGCTGCACGACATCACGACATGTCTCCTGAAGCTTCAAGGCACGCCTCCATAGCTGGCTCTCTTGACACAGTGCCACGCAGAGATCCATGGGGACATCCTAAACAGATTGATGTGATGCAATGCTTAACGCAATGTATAAACGTAGCGGAAAAAGCTGGAAGATATTGGAAGATTCATAATTGTCCCATGACATCGACAAAGATTTGCCTGCAAAGCTCGTCTCTGTGCCAAGACTTCCATCAGATTCCTTGGTTGTCCGATGTCAGCGAAAATGTCTGGGTCTGGTCTTGACTCATTGACAACATTGAACCAAAACAGCCGAAACAGCTGAAACAGCTGAAACTGGCTGAAACTGGCTGAAACAGCTTTGAAGCATGCCAAGATTTGCCAAGTGTCAAGGCATCGTTCCAAAGGTGATGAGATCTCAGAGCTTGGACTGCTGTCCTGAAACTCACTTTGTCTCACGTGAGTAAACAATAATAAACATGTAAATGGGAAAGAAAAGTGGTCCAAAGTGGTCCAAAGTGGTCTCCAAAAGTCCTGAAGTGATTCTTTTACAAAGCTGAAGCTGCTGAGGTTTCGATGCTTCAATTCAACATTTGTCACCGAGCAGCTTGGCCCTGAACGCCGAAGATTTCGCGGCACGCACCTTTGCAGATGTAACACGTTGGCTTCTGTGCTCAGCTATGGCATAGCTAAATCAATGATAATCAATGTAACTCATACATCATCAAGTCATCATCAAGTCATCATCAAATCATCAAATCATCATGATGCATCATCACACAAGATCATACATCCATATAAACCATATACATCCCACAGTTCTCCAGGTTTCAGATGAAACTAACCGACTGCACCTGCACTGCACGGCAGCGCGCCCAGTGCGCCATGATAGACTCGTGGCAATGCCATGGCTGCGATGCTCATTGTAATGTGGGTAAAACAATGCCATAAACCACCTATTCGGGAATGGTTTATACCACCGTTTAAAAATGTAAAAATGGTGATAAAGGCCTTAAGATAAACAACATCAAACGAAGGTTTTCATGATGATCATGATGTCCCTCTCTAAGTGATGTCTAAGTGAGCTCAGGACTTCGCGCAACCAAAGTGAAAGGTCACACAGGTCACTTGCTACACTCTGAAGCCGTTGATGTTGGAGACTCATTGTAAACAGCTGAATCTTTACATATCTCTACAGTCTTTCCTTGGCCCCTTCAAAATGACGAAGCTGAGTTGGAAAGTGACAAAGATAAAGATGATCGTTGCAAAGTTTCTAAATGCTTCCCAGATATTCATAAATCTTCCATCTCTCATCATCATGCCCTATGTTTCACAGATTTCGTTTTCTGTGTCTCACATGTTTCACATGTTTCACATGTTTCACAGTCCTCAATTCACGCCAAGGTCACGTTGAATTTCACTGAAGGTCTTGAAGGCTGCTCGCCACTGCTCGGCCCGAAACATCGCCTCGGGAAGAGCCATGACGCTGAAATGACGGACAGGACAGGCAAAAACTGCCGTGGTTTGCATCGCTGCAAAACTCGAGATGTCTCGAGATGTCTCGAGATGTTGATTTTTTGCAGAAATATGGAGAAATGATGTTTCTGCTGCTGCTACATGTTTTTCTACCGCTCACTTCCCTTTCTGGCGAGAAATGGGAAATGGGCTGAGTCGCAGACCTGGATGGCGCTGGTGTAGGTCATCAGATCGATCTCCTGCGCTCCAGTCACGTTGTCTCTAGTGCACCTTTACAAAAGAGACACATAATGACAAATATATAGAAATATTGAAAAAAATACATGTATAATTATTATATATAAGATATTACAAAGATATACAAAGATATACAAAGATGTACAAGAAAACAGTTGGGTCTCTTTGTTGCTCTTTGTTTCATCACTCCACCAGGTTGATAGGTGGTTGATAGGTGGTGATAGGTGCACGCCACAGAGCCTTTTCTTGGGAAGCTAGATCTTCAAGCCTCAAATTCAACGGGATTGACACACTTCCTGCAAATCACAACAAACCCAAAATCACGAGGTCTTCATTCAAACAGAACTAGCACGGCTGTCGAGTGCTTGCGAGAAAGCTCCTAAAATCTTGTATTTGGCCAAGCAAACACCGCTTCCATGTCTGCTCTCTCTCTCTCTCTTTCTCTTTGTGGCGCCTAGTCACCTGATGTATGTAAGTCATTATGTAAGTCATTATGCAAGCATGTCATCGCATGTGTCATGTGGAAATGTATATAAACATATATAAACTGTGAGGCATGGCAGATCATGGCAGCATGCATCGTGCTTTGAGGTGCTCAGTCACCGGCGCTTGAACTGCCATCTGCCACTGCTCGGCAGGCAGGCAGCGCAGGAAATCCACCGCGAAGGTCATGTCACACGGACTCAGCACCGCAGGATATCAAAGATCTGTCATGTGAAACATGGGTCAAACGGTTAAATAATGTTAAATATCATTCATATGGCTATATGGCTAACATTCCCCAATAATGGTTGGTAACAATATGTAACAATCTATGAATCGATTAATCATACCTTGCAAAAATGCATCAACATGTGCTGTCAATACACCCAGTGCACCCTTGACCAACCCTCTTCCATCACTTTTTGTCGATGCGGCAAGCTGTACAAATCCGCGGCTCAGCTTAGTCGTCAGCTTTCACCTCAGACCTCAGCAGCTGTCAGCTGATTCAGTGCCTTGATACCACTGTCACTGAAGAAATTGAAGGTTGCCGAGTTACCGAAGAACAATTCGAATTACACTTGATATCACTTGAAAAGCGAAACCAGGAGCCTTTTTTTTCAAGTTGCTTTTTGTTTAAAACAGTCTGGGCGCTTTTCCTTGCGAAACATGTTGCCTTTTGCAGCTAAAATTGGAGGTCCGCATTTTAAGACTTGGCCTTTTGAACCTTGAATCTCTCCTTTCAGTGGCATTTTGGAGCTAGAAGCAGCTAGAAACTGTACTTTGCATGGTGCTATTTGCAACTTTTTGGACCTTGGATTTCTGCCAAAAGTGCGCAGCATCTTGGAGCCAGCATTTGTGCAATATTAATTGCATCACTTAAACATTACTTAAACTGACATCTCCTTCTTTCATGATGTTTGTAGCATTTTGGTGCATTGGTTTGCAATCTGCATGGTATTTGCTACATGTTAAACCATGAAACATGTTCGTTATTGTTGTTTTGTCTATTTCAATTGTTCCCTTGTTGCTAGCACAATAGTTGCAGCATATTAGCAATTGAACCTCTCTTTGTGAAGAATTTGCAGGGGTTTCTCCTGGGGCCAAAGTTTCATTGGGGGTTAGAGTAGGCACTTAACGGTTATTTTGGATTGGTATTTGGATTAATTTTGGGATTCTTTACGGTTTAATTAGGGTTTAATTAGTGTTTGTTTGGGGTTTACTTAAGGTTTGTTTCGGATCTATTCAGGGTTGGCTTAGGGTCTATTTTGGGTTGGTTTGGTTCAGGTTTATTTAGGGGTCGTTTGGGGTTTATTTCGGGTTGGTTAAGCATTTGCTTGGAGTTTCTGTAGGTTTGATTGACTCAGTTTTCTTTACGAGTTGTTTTAGGGGTTTACACTTTGTTAAAGCTTCTAGGTTAAGACTGGAGAAAACACACACACAGGTATAGAGAATGTGTTCAGCAGGCATTTTTGCCACTTTCTTTGGTAATCGCAAAAATGAAGCAAGAGGGGTGGTTGGCGGGAGGGCGCCTCTATCCAAAAGAAAACACATGCATATCTTGTTGGCATCGCTCTCTCCCTGCTTCGCTGTGATATTGGATTTCGTCTCTCTTATGGTTGTTTCTGTTACGGTGCTTCGCTGCCGTTTGTGCACCGCTTGTAGACTATAAAATTTGAATCTCTGATCTGGTATTTGCAGCACTTTGGACCAACATTCCTGCTCTTGTTTTCGTTGTTTCATATTAGACCTTGTCTTCCTTAACATTATTGGTATCCTTTCTACTTGATGTTTTACGCGTCGTCTGCACATTAGTGGAGGCATACTGCCAGGAAACCATAAGAGCCCGATGTTCTTTGACAGGCGTCACAAAAAACACAAAGCAAAAAGCCGGAAAAGCCAAGAAGCCACAAAAGCCGTGTGGAAAACAACATAAAATTTACATCCAAACAAAAAACAAACAAATTATATCCCTAAATTCCCCCAAAACAAAAAACGAAGAAATTATATCCATGTACGATGATCGAACAAGGTACAGCTTCAAGAACTAGTTGAACTGCCATGGCAGTGCTGAAATGAGCTCCTCCACAGTGACTTCCTCGCTGTCTGCCAAAGTCATCAGCATTTCTCCAAGTTCTTTCCTCGGAACACGTGTGGCATCTGGACCTGATTGACATCATGAGGAATTGGTTTCACTGAGAAAAAAAACAGCACTTTGAAAAACAATATTTTATAGTTTTCAAATTGAAAAGTTGCTGCAGTCCCAGTGGCGCACTTCCTTTTTTCCACCTCAACTCCGAGGCTTTGCTCACAGATCAGTATTTCGACCACGTGACATAGATAAATCTGAGAAATCCATGTCATCATTGTACCAAAGTCTCACGATACTGGTTGATCTTGGGAACCCTTAAATACAGTCAAACGACAAACTCATTCCTAACTCATGCCTGGGTCAAAACCTGCTAGTAAATCACCATGGAATCGCTGTTTCAAGAAACTCATGCCTAAGTCATGCCCAAATCTTAAAACACCATGGAATCGCGTATGTATAAGAAGAATGTTTCCACACTTGGGAAAATCAAATGTTCGCAAAAATCCGTCTACAGTTGCATTCTACCGTTCATGTTTCTGGGGTTGAGAAATACTTGCCGCTTCGGTCCACTGACTTTTTACGCTTTGCTGACTCTTTTCGCTTTGCTGCTCTCGGTCCATCAGTGGCTTCGCTCTGCCATCCGTGATTCACAACAACCAACCTCTCCTATAGGTTTCCTATTTTTGAAATCACGACGTGCCGAACGACGTCCGAACGACGTAGCAAACGACGCCAAAAAATAACAAGAAAGGCTCTCTGCCCATCCGCCTGCGGAACCACATAAGAAACTAAAACCGACACGAAGACACAACAATGACCCTTCTCACCTCCATCTCAAGCAACACGCTCAAGTGCCACAATGCCGCGTTGAGCACGCAGTGAAAAGTGAAAATGGCTGCCGCAGCACACTGGAAAGAAAAAGATAGAAACACCAACTCATCGCTACACTCACATCCAGTTTGACTTGGTATGGAAAAGGTTACTCTTGATGCTAAACACAACCTAAACGCAAGATTTATTAACAATATGGAAAAGGTACTCTTGATGCTAAACACAACCTAAACGCAAGATTTATTAACAATATGGAAAAGGTACCCTTGATGCTAAACACAACCTAAACGCAAGATTTATTAACAAAAACTATTCCAAAGACCAAATCCAACAAAACATTGCAATTCCTATGCGTTTTACTAAAAAGGCACGACTTTTCAAATCAAGTGCTCCCCAGCTATTTACGATGATTTCCAAATTTTAGGCACGACTTTAGCATTCCACTGTAAGGGTTCCATTTGGGTTAAGCACACCCGCTGAAATATGCCGAGATGCATGAAAGGGTGATTCCAGTAGGAACCTCGACAGCGCTTGTCACCATAGCTTACTTCGCCTTCAGGGCCTTTCATTGAGAATGTCCTGGTCGCGTTTAACGCGGAAGGACGTACGCGTTAAACCATGATTTGGAACGGCCGTTTTGCAGAATCGATGGTTTGAAGTGATGTGGAACTGATTCGGACTCTCCAGCCATTTTGACGCAAAATTCCGAAGAGAAGTTTGGTGAAGTTTTGTGAAGTTTTAGGGTTTTCCCAGATATTTTGGAAGATTTGTTCCTGGATTTCCTCCAAGGATCCGGTTGGCGAAGTCGCGGTTCTTCTCATCGTCGTCCCGGAGTTGGTATTCGCCGATGTGCAGCACTGTATGAGTGTCATCGTCCTCACCTTTCAATGATCGATTTTTTTTAATCAAAATAGTCCAACTGCTTTCATGTCTAACTGTATCTAACTGTTATATCTGTACAACTGCTTGAAATCCCGAATCAAAGATGCACAGATTGAAGAGGCTCACCACAAACTAAAAGGTGCTTCAGCTCAGAATACCTTTGAATGTTGTTATATACTTATATATAATAATATATATATGCAGCATATTATGCATCAAGACTGCAAATAGATCAACAGTTGGTACTCAACAAGAACTGATTTACGGTGGCGCCAGGTCACTGTCTTGGAAGTGTCTGATTTCCAGCTTCATCTCCTTCCCATGACTCGTGGTATACGTTGAAGCCACAGTCCATCCGTCCAGGGGAAGGCCAAAGATTGGAGCAATCTCTTGGATGGGACGTGCCATTGCTGCCGGCAAGGGGTTTGGATGTGAAAAAATCTCAAAAAAATGTGAAGACCAACAAGAATCATCAAGAATCTGTGTGTCAGAAAGGTTGAAGTCTCAGCTCATGCCAAATCCCTGTCTGAGCCAAGAGTCCATCGGAATGATTAGAACTTGGATTGGCCCTTTCCGCCTGTCCTCACGGAAAGCCAATTTGAGAACCCCCGCTACTTGGTACTCAGCAGCTGCAAGCTGGCTTCCCATGCTTCTGCCTGTTCACAATGGACAGTCGCTTTGACACTCATGATAGTCACAAAGTGCACATGTCATATAGTCATACAGTGTATTATAGTGTACTATATTGTACAAGAGTATTTACTACACTGTACTAGAGTGTACCACTATGTGTTGTGATATGTTGTGTATTTGATCATCTGTTTTGCTGTTCCAATATAAACTGAATCAGGAACTCCTCGTGACATGGTCATGTGCGGTTACCTGCCTCAGCACAAGCGCGCAACACATGCTGCAAGGCTGGGCTTCCAATAAAGGCCTGGCAAAAAAAAAGGCTGGTGAGAAGTGCACATTCATCATGCAATGATATGATATTGATATGACATTAATCCGCCGACCCCTGCCTTAGCCAAGGCAGGGGCGGCGCCTGGGACCACCGCAGGTGTGGAACTTTTTTTCGTTCCCAATGCTTTGCACTTTCCACGAGCCACCCAGGCCATAGCACCCTCTGTTCACCGCCCAGGAGCCACTCAGGCCACAGCAATTTCTGTGCACTTCCCACGAGCCACATATGCCACAGCAATCTCTGTTTCTACGGCGTTCCAAAACGCAACAGGCCGCGGCAGACCCTGTGCAGTTCCAACAAGTCCCTGAGGCCGTGGCAGTAAAGAGGTTCAAGGCTGCCGTTTGCCAGCCTTCAAAACTCGCCAAAACTACCCAAGCCCGCCCCTGCAGCTCCCAGGCGCCACTCAGGCCGAGGCAGACCTTTCCTGCAGCTCTCACAAGTGCCTGAGGCCGTGGCAGCGTCTTTTTATGGACGTTCAAGGCTGCCTCTTGCCAGCCTTCGAAGCTCGCCTAACTCGCGAAACCCTCCCCTGCAGCTCCCAGGCGCCACTCAGGCCGCGGCAAACCTTTCCTGCAGCTCCAACAAGTTCCTGCGGGCACTTTCCACGAGCCACCCAGGCCATAGCACCCTCTGTTCACCGCCCAGGAGCCACTCAGGCCACAGCAATTTCTGTGCACTTCCCACGAGCCACTCATGCCACAGCAATCTCTGTTTCTACGGCGTTCCAAAACGCAACAGGCCGCGGCAGACCCTGTGCAGTTCCAACAAGTCCCTGAGGCCGTGGCAGTAAAGAGGTTCAAGGCTGCCGTTTGCCAGCCTTCAAAACTCGCCAAAACTACCCAAACCCTCCCCTGCAGCTCCCAGGCGCCACTCAGGCCGCGGCAGACCTTTCCTGCAGCTCTCACAAGTGCCTGAGGCCGTGGCAGCGTCTTTTTATGGACGTTGAAGGCTGCCTCTTGCCAGCCTTCGAAACTCGCCTAACTCGCGAAACCCTCCCCTGCAGCTCCCAGGCGCCACTCAGGCCGCAGCAGACCTTTCCTGCAGCTCCAACAAGTTCCTGAAGCCGTGGCAGCGTCTTTTTATGGACGTTCAAGGCTGCCGTTTGCCAGCCCTCAAAACTCCCCAAACCCTCCCTGCAGCTCCCAGGCGCCACTCAGGCCGCGGCAGACCTTTCCTGCAGCTCTAACAAGTCCCTGAGGCCGTGGCAGCGTCTTTTTATGGACGTTCAAGGCTGCCGTTTGCCAGCCTTCAAAACTCCCCAAACCCTTCCCTGCAGCTCCCAGGCGCCACTCAGGCCGCGGCAGACCTTTCCTGCAGCTCCAACAAGTTCCTGAGGCCGTGGCAGTGTCCTTTTACGGAGGTTCCAGGCTGCCGTTTGCCAGCCCTCAAAACTCCCCAAACCCTCCCCTGCAGCTCCCAGGCGCCACTCAGGCCGCGGCAGAGCTTTCCTGCAGGCTCCAACAAGTCCCTGAGGCCGTGGCAGCGTCTTTTTATGGACGTTCAAGGCTGCCGTTTGCCAGCCCTCAAAACTCCCCAAACCCTTCCCTGCAGCTCCCAGGCGCCACTCAGGCCGCGGCAGACCTTTCCTGCAGCTCTAACAAGTCCCTGCGGCCGTGGCAGCGTCTTTTTATGGACGTTCAAGGCTGCCGTTTGCCAGCCCTCAAAACTCCCCAAACCCTTCCCTGCAGCTCCCAGGCGCCACTCAGGCCGCGGCAGACCTTTCCTGCAGCTCTAACAAGTCCCTGAGGCTGTGGCAGCGTCTTTTTATGGACGTTCAAGGCTGCCGTTTGCCAGCCCTCAAAACTCCCCAAACCCTTCCCTGCAGCTCCCAGGCGCCACTCAGGCCGCGGCAGACCTTTCCTGCAGCTCCAACAAGTCCCTGAGGCCCTGGCAGTGTCCTTTTAAGGAGGTTCAAGGCTGCCGTTTGCCACCCCTCAAAACTCCCCAAACCCTCCCCTGCAGCTCCCAGGCGCCACTCAGGCCGCGGCAGACCTTTCCTGCAGCTCCAACAAGTCCCTGAGGCCCTGGCAGTGTCCTTTTAAGGACGTTCAAGGCTGCCGTTTGCCAGCCTTCAAAACTCGCCAAACCCTCCCCTGCAGCTCCCAGGCGCCACTCAGGCCGCGGCAGACCTTTCCTGCAGCTCCAACAAGTCCCTGAGGCCATGGCAGTGTCCTTTTAAGGATGTTCAAGGCTGCCGTTTGCCAGCCCGCAAAACTCGCCAAACCCTCCCCTGCAGCTCCCAGGCGCCACTCAGGCCGCGGCAGACCTTTCCTGCAGCTCTAACAAGTCCCTGAGGCCGTGGCAGCGTCTTTTTATGGACGTTCAAGGCTGCCGTTTGCCAGCCCGCAAAACTCCCCAAACCCTCCCCTGCAGCTCCCAGGCGCCACTCAGGCCGCGGCAGACCTTTCCTGCGCGCAGCCCGGCGACCATCACAATTCTAAGCGCAAATGATCTCTCTCTCTCTCTCTCTCTCCCCAATAGGGGGGTCGGCGGCACCAGGGCGCTAGCCCATTCTATAATATGCATGGGGACTTAACCCATAGTAATAGATATTAGAATAAAATATTTCCAGTGTCCGATAGTTTCATTAAAAAAAACATCCGCTTCAAGCTACTCAGTCGGTGGGGGAATTCACACCAGGGAACGGATTTACCCTACTGAATTACCCGGGGATTTAACTTGCGATTCCTGGGGTGAGCAATATAGGGTAATATTATGTAATATTGTATAGCTAATTCCTGGTGCTCAAAATGCATTTAATTGTAATTACCAATATATCCAACAATTTCAAGTAACCATTTTTGAATATACCATATCGAACCGCTAATGTACTGAGGCAGAAGGCAGTTTGGAACAAACTGTGTTTTGGTGGGGGCAGGGGAGGTGGAATGTTTGGAACTGTAGCTGCCTGATGGATTGAATACAAGAAATGCTGTCAGCAGGGATCATGCCAGGATAGACCCATCTCAAAGAAGGCTGGGGATATTCCTTCACTAAGCATCATTTCGAGTGACGTCACACAAAAGACGATGACACCGGACGCACAGAAGTGGGACTGAACACAATGCCACAGGAGAATGGCCTTGCCATCAAACATGGGAGCTTCTATTTTCGAGGTCTTCTTCCACAAAGTTATTATAAATGTCAGTGTCGGTAAGGATAAATCAAATCTGATTCCTTGAGCCTCCAGGTATCTCCAGCTTCAGAGTAAGCATCAATGGATACAGTTTCATGACAGTTGCTGTAGTCGTGCATGAGGTCATAACTTCAGCATATAGAAACCTGTTACAAGGGAGCTTCTTCAGATGTGGAACCCCATAATGATATGTTTTAAGATGTAACGCGCATTATTCATATTATTCATATTATATAAATGTTCAGTGGTGTGCATTTTGATACGACTAGAAATGTGGAACAACCATGGCTACCTTAAAGAGATGAGGGCATGATCCTAGAATCCATAGCACATTGAGATACATGAGGTATACCACGTCCAAATTGACACGGCCAGTCTTAGAATGCCTACATACCCTACGTTTTCCTTCAGCTGATTTCTACATCTCTCTCTATCTTTTTATGTGTTATATATATATATATAAATATGAATACATATATATATATAAATATCAAAAGTTGCAAAGCAGGAACATCTGAAAGTAGCCTTTCATCGCGACTGACCTCCCAAAAATGCCCCAGTCAGGTTCCTGGGCTTCAGTTGCGACCCCAGTCCTCCACAGTACCAGCGCCCTGCTTCAATGACAAGTCATTCTCTAAGCGATTGATCCTGGCCCAGGGGTCCGATAGCGAAGCCGTTGGAATGTCCATGTCCATTGAAATCATTGAATGGTTGGCAACCAGTGGACCACCGATAAGAATGCCACCCCGGGTAAGACTTACATTGAAATATCCTATTTGAATAAGACATGGCAACGACCAGGAGCAATCGCCAACGAAGCCGCAAGGCATCGATCAGCTACAGTCATGATCTCAAAACTGACGATTCTGGGATCATCATCCCACATGACATGGCAATGCACACGACACTTACCGCAGCATCCATTGGTAACGCAGAACATCAAAAGCTTTTATCCATTCTCCATGCCGCTAGCAGTCGAGATTCAACATGTGGGTCACAGGTCAGCTCAGATATCACCGGTTTGTGGCTGCCTTTTTTGGAACCTTTCGCAAAAATCCATGGATTGTTTGGAGGGTAACCGTGAAAATTTACCAGCCACTGTGAACTGGGAATCGTGGAATCGTTGGTGAGTTCCTATATCCCATGATACAGTAATCTTTTGTTCCCATTATAGTTGTTGCGGGGTAAATGCCCGGCCCATTAATTAATTATATTATATACAAATAAATATATATATATATATAAATTGTAAATACTAATATATATATATATAATATTGCGGCCAGGCGCTGTATGTTGCCCGGAAGGTTCAAATGGCGTTTAAACATGTTTAAGCATTATCCTTCAACATGCTCAAACACCTGCGTA